GCGTTTTTGCAATTTACATATATGCAAAAACGCATAAAAACCGTTCATGCAGTTAACCTAATTACTTCAAGTTTAGTGCAAAAACGCATGATCGCACCGACTCGCCTGGTGCGTTCCAGCCTGCGTTAAATGAGATTTTTCGGACGAAGGTCTTCTGGCAGTTTGTTTTTTCTCTTGCAATAACCATACCTTACCTCTATGAGACCCAAAGAATTTAAACTTAACTTTATACTGTCTGCGCCTAGATGCGAAATTTTACAACCCCACGATCCAGTAACTAGGGAATTGAAATTTTGTGAACTTGTGTTCACTACCATGTGCGAGTAAGTGTATATAAAATCTATTGTCTACGTACTCCTACATTTCACGTGAGGACACGTGAAAGGTCCTTTGACAAATTTTCATCTTGGCAGTCAGATCTGCTAGAAAACAGGAAAAAATTTGTGAACATACTTCACGATGGCTAAATAATGTAAAATTAACCTTAAAGTTTTACAGGTCTGGCGTTTAGGTGCATAGAAATTGACAAAAACAGTTTTATAGCTCACTGTGCGAAAAACGCATGCCGCATCGGTTCCCTGGTGTGCTCCGCAGTTTACTGTTTTTTAGCAGTTAAAAGGAAGGTCATATTTGTAGCGTTGTGCCTTTTTAACCTGCTACGAAAATAAGTCACATTTGATTGACCTCGTTTTAGTCTTTGAGGCATAAATGCCTTGATGTTTTGCTTTTGGACCTTTCATGTTGCAGGCGGTTTTGGAATTCCGATGGGAACAATAGTGTTCAGTACGCATCCACCACAGTTCCGGGATGAATCAGAGCTCTACCATGGCTCATCAACCACATCAGTGGGAAATCGGAGTCGTGTGCGATTCAATGAAGATGGTACTCCACGTGGAGTACTCAAAGGACACCAAGCTTCATATCCTGAATCATGATGCTTTGGCTTCCATTCTTGGTTTTACTATCTGCACGGAAAGTTTTAAGGCTTTTTTGGGAATGCATTTCTTGCTAAAGTTGATATAAATTTTGGCGGAACTAATTTGCTTGATTTTTTTACCTTTTAATGTCCAGAAATAAGTCATGGAGCCAATTTTCGCAAATATGAAGCTGGGCATTTTTCATATTTTTTGCCTCAGGCTGATGTACTGGAAATTGTTGTGCAATTCAAATCCTGTTTAAACCAAACACAGGACACTTTTTCGCGCTTTTTTTAATAAATATTTTGCTCTTCCTCTCTGCGTTTTTTGATGAATCTTCACTAATTTGCTTTACTATTAAAATATTATTTTTCTTTTGTGCAACAGTGTTTTATTATAAACCGAGCCAGAATAGGGTCCATAGAAACATAGCATATTTTTGCGCAGTGTTTCCATTCTTTCTCTCCCAGGCAAAAGTAGTTTAATGGCAGCCAAGTAACTGATCGGTCACAGCCTGTTATTTAAACACATATACCAGTCGAAATCGTATGTGCAGTTAATACGCAATAATGCGTTTCTGAAAGAAGCATTTGCACAAAAACGCTTTGTGGTGAAATCTTTTCTATGTGCATGTCCCCTGTGCAAATAATTCAACTTAAGAATTACGAAAAATATGATGATATGAAAATGTTGCTCACGATCATGAACCCAAAATCCCGAGTCTCTCTCTTTCTCTATTTTGATTTGTGGACTCAGATCTGAGAGCGGTTAGCGTTAATATGTTTGGGGAATGAATAAGGTTAAAAACTGAAAAATGCAACAGCTAAATTCATCGAATTCGGAGCATGAAGCCCAAAATTAGGTGCGAAATCTTACTGCACCGTGACACAAAGCTACACATTTAAAAATCAGACTAATGCCAGAAATGGCAAATGAAAGCATCCATGATGCTCTGAACTTCAGACTTTTAGCTGGAACAGGATGCAGAGTAAATCAGCTTTCAACCAACACGTCTAAGGTTTACATATTCCAAGACAGTGCTAGCCATGGATCCGTGCTTAGCTGCTTTAGGTCTGCTCGCTAAGTCAAAAAAATACCTGATAACGAAGTACAACCATGTATTATACGCGCTGGAGCCATCACCACTGAGCACCAAGAGAAATAAAACAAAAATGCACATGATTATTCAGATATTTTGATGTGCATTACTGTTTATTTAAGGTCAAGAATTCTCCGGTTTCTTGGGGCAATCTAAAAAAATTGTGTTGAACCATAAGGAACATTCCCATGCACCTTTAAGATAAGTTAGCCAGAATTCCTTTTTAATATGCGTTTGTGCTATGCAGCGCTAGAGCGTTGCAACAGGCAAGCAAGAGCACATATTGTGGTAACCTTATCTTTGTATGTTGTATGTTTGTTTGTGTGTGTGTTCGTCTATCCGGGCATTCCTACTTGGTAATCAGATAAACTTTGATACTGGAGCTTTGCCAGTGTCTTCCCTGGCCAATTGCGATCCCAGGAATGTTATATCAACTTTCACGCACGCCTAAATCTTACGTAAGGACACATGAAGGTTTCGGCAGGAAACTGCTAACTTGAGGACAAGAAAAACTAGGAAGCTGAAATTTTTGGGGAATGTTCTCTATTTATGTATAAACAAGGTTTTTCAAATTTAGCTCCTTGGTACGTCAGAGTCTCACATACGTCAGGGTCATGTGAAAGTTTTGGCGGGAAAATCACTAACACGAGAACGAGAAAAGTTAGAAGGTTAAACTTTTAAAGGGATGTTCCTTACTCATATGCAACCAAAAGATTTCCAGTTTATGTGCTTAGTACGCTTGATTCTCACATACGGATAAGTGAAAGTTTTGACGTGAAAACTGCTAAATTATTAACTAGAAAAGCTAGCAAGCTGGAGCGTTAACAGGATTTTCCTAGCTCACGCACGGCCAAAGAATTTCAAACTCGGCTTCTTGGTATGAGCGGGTGTAAGCACAGAAAATTTTAACGTAAAATTAAACAACCTGAGAACCAGAAGAGCTAGAAGGCTGAAGTTTTGGGAAAATGTTCTCTGTCCGTGCGTGATGCAAAAATTTCACACTCAGTCCCTAAGTGAACATGGTTCTCATATATGGGCACGCAAAAGTTATATGCGATTTCGTCATCCTACCCTCTTGACATCCTGCTCATTGACAAATTTGCCTTTTCACTGAATGCACACTCGGGTTGCTTTTGTTTGTTTAACAAATTCGAAGTGCTTTTTTTGTCTGACAAAGTTTTCTTTTATGTGTTCGAGACTAGTCATTCCGACATAATTTTGGAAGTCCCTTCAACCCCTCTTGCTTTCTTTTGGCTTTGGACCCACTCTCGTTCTGGATCTTTTCTTGCCCTGAAAATTACGGGGGG